ACCAGGCGCTGGAAGGGCAGCTTGCGGATCAGCAGCTCCGTGGACTTCTGGTAGCGCCGGATCTCGCGCAGCGCCACCGTGCCGGGCCGGTAGCGGTGCGGCTTCTTGACGCCGCCCGTGGCCGGCGCGCTCTTGCGGGCAGCCTTGGTGGCCAGCTGCTTGCGGGGCGCCTTGCCGCCCGTCGACTTCCGCGCCGTCTGCTTCGTGCGCGCCATCTCCACAGAAGGACTCGCTCGGACCTCACTGAGGCAATACCGAAGCGCTTCCTCCAGGGGCATTTATCGAGCACCGCGGCTCCGCCCCCCGCCGTTGATTGGTCATAGTAGCGGAGAATTTAATTGGGTTACAACTGAAGCCGCTCAGAGCTCCAGTCGTTTCAAATATTTTTTGGGTTGTTTCCTTTTTGTTAGAAAAACATCAACATCTGTTGATGTGCTACTTGCATTCTGTCTATTCCTAATATTTCTTTTTCCCTAAGATGTTTCAGAATGGTACTTTTGGCTTTACGTTTTAAGAAATGTTGTTACTTATAAAGATTTGCCTTAAGAGAGCAATCCGGCCAAACCCCGCACCGAACAAAACAAAGTTTTAGGCAAGCAAACGAGACTGAATAAAATCCAATACAAACATCCAAAAAGTCCCCAGAAAAACAAGACAAAAAAAAAAGAAAAAAACCAAGAACAAAAGGACACCACCACAAAATTTTTAGTTTCGGAATGCATACAAAGCATCCAATTCCTTTGTTACTACTTCCATAAGAATATAGGATGACCAAATATAAGCGAACAGTATAGATAGAGAGTAAAATATATGTTAGCAAACCTGTTTAGAAGCATGTTATCTTGTCGGTAATTGCTGGAAAATTGTATTTTATTTTTACCCACTTCAAGTGGCAGAGTAATTTAATTAATTACGCAAGTGGTTAAAAAGCAGCAATATCTACTCGGAAGAAAGCGAAGACCAAGAGAAACGGCTGGTTTGGGTTAGGTGTTTAAGAGCAGGGCACAACACAAGAAGGGGTTAACGCGGGATTTTCAAACCAGCCCCCTGAGGACATCCGTTTCCATCGCCCAATCAACAGGCAGCGCTCGGATATAAAACCGAGGTGGGCGCAGTCTGCTACGTTATTGTCGGGTCATTTGCTGCTGTTGAGTGGGACGCCGGGCGTGTTGCGATGGCGCGCACGAAGCAGACGGCGCGGAAGTCGACGGGCGGCAAGGCGCCCCGCAAGCAGCTGGCCACCAAGGCTGCCCGCAAGAGCGCGCCGG